GACATGGTGCTGGAGAAGGAGCCAAGAATTCTACATCTGGATTGGCAGGCAGCAGGAAAAGAGTGACATTGGTATAGCAGAAGTCTCTCTGGTCCCACCCTGCCCCAAGGTCCCATAGCCGCCTATAAAATAATCATTCAGGGGCTTATCTTAATTACCAACTGTATGGCCTATGGCAGGCTTCTTGCTAGCTAGCTCTTTCATCTTAAATTAACCCGTTTCTATTTATCTATGTATTGCCAGATGTTTCGTGGCATGTTGCTCCTTGGACTGCAGTTCGGCGTCTTCCCTTCCTCTCTTTTCTCCTCTCACTGTCTCTCTTGGATTTTCCTGCCTGGCTCCATCCTGCCCTGCCATAGGTCAGTGCTGCTTTATTTATTAGCTAATGGGAGCCACACATATTCACACCATACAGGAAGACATCCCATAGCACACTGGGCCTGGCTTGAGCTTCTGAAACCTCAAAGCCTAACCCCAGTGACACAAGATCACATCTAGTCCAACAAAGCCACATCTCCTAATAGTGCCACTCCCTATGAGCCTATAGGGGACATTTTCATTCAAACCACTACATAGGCTCACCCAGTCAATGAGGGGCTGAGGTTGGAGTCATATCTGGTTTGTGCTGTCTTTCAAGTTGAAACTCTCTGTGTTTTAGGTACACAGTCATAAAGCTACTGAAACTTTCAACTTCAGGCCCTTCGATCATTCACCTGTCCTTCCAGAACTATAATTTCATACTTATACCCCAATGTTCTTTTCCTTAAAGAGGCTTCCCTATCCACAAATGTACAAGATCTGCTAGAAGGACTGCCATTCATCTGCATGACTTTACCTACAACTTAGGGATTTTCAGGAATGCAAGACTTTTAATACTAAAATCAGGAACATCTCAGTTTACAGGGGAGTGGGCTACCTGAGATGGTCAGATGTAGCCCTGTCCTCAATACATGTGAAAACAGCAGCTTTTCCTGTTGACTCTGTGGGTACCATAATCTTGACCTTACAGTGTAGAAAGTCTGGATGCTACCTGGAGGGTTTGGTTTGATGCATCTTGGGGGAGGGGATCATCTGCTGTGGAATTCAGGGCTTGATTCTTACTCTGTCACCTTGGGCAGCTTCACATACATCACTTACCCTGACCCCCACATGGCCATCACCTCTGCAGGGTGACTCATGAGCTTTTATCCTCCTTGTATGCCCTTCCAAATTAGGTCGTCTTTAATTCAGGTTCTGATAGCTCTTCCTCTGATGGATTTATAGCCGCTGGCCCAGTTCTTGATAAACAAGACTTAGAATGTCACCTGCCAGCCTGTCATGAGTGTGCACTCCAGGTCACTCTTCCAACATGTCAGCACAAGTTCTTTACCTTCATCTGATCTACTAGAACAGTGGTTCTCAACCTTCCTGATGCTGGGACCCTCTAATACAGTTCCTCATGTTGTCACCCCAACCATAAAATTATTTTCATTCTACTTCCTAACTGTAATTTTGCTACTGTTGTGAATCATAATATAAATAGTTTTTGGATACAGAGGTTTGCCAAAAGGGTCACAACCCACAGGTTGTAGCAGGGCATGCTAAGCCACAGTCCTTTTCCCTCAAACATGTTACCACAGCTATCTACAATCATATGAGTTCTACTCTATTTGCAGACCTCTTTGTGTACACACACACACACACACACACACACACACACACACACACACCATCTGCATGTGAATTTCCTCATCTACACGTGACCTTATCTCTCAATGTAAATATACATGCCCATCATGAACACACAAAAGGGAAGTGGGCCAGGCTTCCCAGTCTTCCTCTACTGCAGCAGGTGCTCACTATGCTATCAAGGCTCATGTTCCCGATGACCATTGACACACAGATAATCTGGGAGAGGTGATGGGTAATTTACAGTATTTTACAGATGGAAATATTGAGGATCTGAGAAGTCACCTGACCTCATCCAATATCGCATAAATGTATGTGTGACAGAGCCATTGCTTGTTCCCCAAATCTGTCTCAGACGTTCATGCTCTATCAACTGCTCCAAGTGTCCCACCCCTTCAGGGACCATGGACTCCTTTAGTTACCATGGAAATCATACACTTCTTCTAATAACCCTACTCTATCCTCTAAACATGCCTAGATTCTTCAAGGAGCTAAAAAAGGCAATTAATATGTGACTTGTAGTCTTATTATTTTACAGTCACTTCTATATGCTTGGGTTTTCTCCCTAAGCATGAGGAACTACATTCATTAATTTCCCTCTCTGCCCTTTGTGAACAAAGCTTTTCACTGCTGGGAATGTTTAAAAGCCTGTGGTACTGATGCTGGAAGCCAGTGAAAGAAGAAGGAGATGCTTGGTCTATGGGGATCAGCACCCACCTCCTGGGTTGATGGGCCTTGGTGAGGCCTGATAGTGAGCTAAGTTCCAGCTAGAAACCAGACTTGAGATTTCTTTTATTCCCTGGGGAAAGGACATATGTGGGGTAGTGTAGTGGGTAGCCATTTCAGCTTTGGTCTGGAAGTTCCAACCCCCATTGAAGCTTCGGTAACTATCACGTCTACAAGGCAGAGCCAAGAGAGGGCCCTGAAGACCCGAGATCCAGATGCGCCGCCCTCTCTTGTTTCCTGGACCCTGGACGCTGGAGGTAGACTGAGCAGAATTCCCCAGAGAGCACTGCCGGACTGTGCTGCATCTTTCCCAGACCCTGCAACCTACCTTTCCCTTCATTTGTAAGTTACAACACTAAATAAATCTCCCTTTTAACTATGTGGAGTGGCCTTAATAATTTCACCAATAGGGTAGGTGTGAGTTGGGGTGGGGAGGAGCAGGTGCCAGATTGTAGTTCCTTTTTAAGTCCTTATGACCTGGGCTCCTCTGGGGCTGGTGTCTCTAGAAGGCTGACCTTCATAGTACTCTTTTGCAGGAAGTAGCTTTGAGCTGGGATACTGCAGTCCCTACAACTCTCTGTTCCAAGAGCTGCTCTCTTCTCCAAGGATCAGCTGGGTCCCTCTATTACTTATTATTGTTAACTAACTTGTCCCCCTTCCCTCAGAGATCCTGAGGCTTCCACGTGTGCTTTCCTTGTGCCCTTTTCAGGATGGCACAGGCTTTGTCCTTGGACTCTTATCTTTCTTTCTCCTGGTAGACCCAAGTACATGTGTAAAGTCTTATATATGTGTTTCTTTGCCTTTTTCAAGGGAGAATGGAGGGCATATAAGGATGGGAGAGAGAAGCTACCAGACCTCCCATTGTCAATGAGGTAGGAGTTTCAGACACAAGGAGCTTTCACAAGGTCTGAAAGTACCACGAATGGACTGTGGACACATCCTCCACTGCCCAGGAAGGTTGGGAAGCATGAAACCACACCACTGGCGCCCTAAAGCCTGTTCCTACCTTCTGTATTTCTGCCACCTCAGCTCACTCTAGCTGCTGCTACCCGCGTTTTTTCCTGCTCTACCCTATTCTTATCCTTCCTGTTCTCAAGGCAAATCCAAGGACATGCTGAGTCCTTCTCATTTTCTGCTTCTCTTCTGGCCCACAACACAGTTATCTAGTTAATGAATTCTGCTCCAGTTCTCAAACCTTCCTACCTCTACATCATCCTAAAACACACAGGGCCATATACACACTCTACACTTACATACCACACCAACACCATGCATAGTGAAGTACATACGCCACAGCGCATAGACCACCTCTCCCATGCACAGCACATCCCTCTCTAGCTGGGACTCTATCTGACTCTCATTGAGTTCATACCTCAGCTACTTATCTTCTTTGATTTACTCTTTAAAAAAAAGGTTTATTTATTATGTATACAGTGTTCTGCCTGCATGCCAGAAGAGGACACCAGATCTCATTATAGATGGTTGTGAGCCACCGTGTGGTTGCTGGGAATTGAACTCAGGGCCTCTAGAAGATCAGCCAGTGCTCTTAACCTCTGAGCCATCTCTCCAGCCCCAAATACTGTGTTCTTAATGGGCAGTAGTGTTGGGGTGGATCTGATTATTTCCAAGATGGATATGAAGATATTTTAAAGCACTTCGTTGGCACTATGGGAGTCTTGGCAATTAATTTGTACATGAAAAGGTACTTCTGAGAAATTCCATGAATGTTTTTCCTTGTCTATCAGTAATAGGCAAGTTCAAATCTTGTAGATTTATCTACAGCCATCTTTCACTCCATTGTGCCTCTGTGCCTCCATTGTTCTTTCATGCAACCAATATTTATGAATGACACCATGATGGTTAGTAACCAATATTT